TTTTGTTTTGATCCACATTAATTATATAAGATGAAGTATGCGACGAGTTCAAAGAAACATTCCACATAATTTGTGACCGAGGAGTGCAATGTTTGACAATACTTCGCTTCATTTCTTGTACATTTCTACGCTGGAAATTTTTGAAGACAATAACACAATCTTATACTGTAACTGTTTAACTGTAAACATCGTGAATACAGTTATAAAGAGGCCGCTTTGAACGTTGTGTGACTTGCTATATCAACAGCTGGAGAGGCAAACTGAAATCCCGAAGGTGTGAGTTCGAATAATTTGTGTTTTCCTTTGGAGTGTGTCATCATGAAAATATTTAATGCGGTATCAATCCCTCGAAACATGTTGCCAGTGTTGTTGTTGTCATTATGGCAGAAGCGCTTGGCCTTGGGGAAAGCTTTTCGCTTGACTAAATTCGAAACAAGTGTGATTGAGAATGTGGTTGCAGTTCCTGTCTTCGTGGCAAAGCCAAGGGCGAAATTTTTGACCGTGCAAATGCCGGATAAACAGCTTTTGTTCAAGCTCGTGCGCGCTATGGAGATGAGTTCGTTATAAACAACAAAAGAGTTCAATAGATTGACAGTGACGAGAGTACGAGAAGCTAAGATTTTATTAAACTTTTTTGTGTTATAAATATGTGTTTTGAAATTATGAACTGGAAGTATGAATTCATTGATATTACTCTCATATTGACACAAAATGATGATATTCTTGTGACACTGAATGATCTAATAGTGATATTAACTTGAACAATTCTGGTCAATCTAGTGATCACGTTAGTTCATCATGTATCTTCAAGACAGAGGACAATTGCTAAATATATGCTTGTTTCGCTGTATATCAGAGCTCACCAGAATGCTCAGGAAACACTGATGAAATTTTTATTTACATCAACTAATCAGTCTTTCTTTTTCTTAACAGATTTATTGGGTTATATGTTAATACAAATAATTTATAAACACTTATTATTAAAACACATATATCCAAGGGATAGGCATGAATATGACTCAAGGGCTTGTGCCCCATGAAAGTACTGAATATACTAAATATAATTACAGTTTGTGACATGAATTCAAGTAAGCACCATTCACATAAGAACCTGTTTAGGCTAACTTGGAAAAAATCTAGGTTCTTATTATATGCAGGGTTTTACTGTGTTGTTTGATTTCATGTCACAAAACAGGCCATGGGCAAGGCAGCTTGTTCTGACAATATATATATGGGATGGTGCCACTCTTTGTGACATACACAAGATCAGGCAATCATAGTAGAATATAAACTGGCTTGTGTTTCAGATTGCTTTGTGTAGGAGGCAATCCATCTAGGAGAAAGAAAACTCTGATTTCAAACCCCCAGATTCCACCTTGGACAATACTGTACATGTAGTGACTACATGATCTTTAGAGCTTGGAAATTAGGTTAAATTCTTAAAGAAAAGCAACTCATTTTTGGTATGCGAGGTATAATTTACATGTATATACATATATATAAATTGACAAAATTGTGCACAAATTATCTAACTAATAGCTATGTAAACTGTAAACCTGCTAACACTTTATTTATCAGTCAATGACATTTTCAGTGTTCTGGATGATTTTCATTACTTTGTGAAGAGTTTATTTTCTTTGATTTATATACATTTTGAGACTTGATTTGTCTTCATGTGATAAAATAAGAACATGAAATGCTAGCCTAAACAAATTCTTATTTAGGATGTCTATTTGACTAAATAAAAAATTTAGTCTGACAGGTTATTAAAATGTAGGTTCTTATATGCAAGCTTTTAGTCACAATTAGGGTGAAAAAATATACTAGTAATTATTAATTGAGTTCGTTTACATCATATAAGTTTCTGTGATCAAAATGTTTTATAAACTAAATGTCTTAGGCGGTGTTTATATGGAGGCGAGCCAGCCGGTTACCTGAGCTAATTTAATTTAATTTTTAAACGTCAATTTTTAAACCTTACACCAAAGTGTGTTTAGTTAATCCAACTACGAATCAAATTTAATAATCGCTGACTTTTAAGAGCTATCAGCACCAAAAATTCTTACTTTTGCTGAATTTAACGTCGGCAAAAATTTGCCGGCCTGGGAGGTTGATATGTCGGCATTTAGGTCGGCATTGCCGAATGCGTTTTCGAGGGCTGTAAGCTGCTTTGATTAAAATATACTTTGATCAGAGAAACTTTTTATGTGTTTCTATTAAGTGAGCACAAGTTGTCCATGAGAAGACAGTAAAGCACGGTCAAGTAGATTAATTTATATCATTTATCACTCTGACAATAAACACTATATAAATAGCCATCCAAAACATGTTGAATCCAAATTGCTCATTAACACTTTTTTATTGACAACTCCTACTCACGAGTATCATATCTTTAATAACTTAAGACTTAGTTCTTGCACTTCACTTGGTGGAATAAATATTAGGATGTTAGGGTTTGTAATCCAAGTGAGAATATATACATTTTAAGACCTAACCAGGAACGACTGCGAAAAATGCAGCACAAGGTCCTCTGGTAGGAATCGAACCTACGGCCCTACGATTCCGGAACAGCGTTCTAACCAACTGAGCTACAGAGGCCAGCTGTTGAGCTGTAACCGTAAGTTCATGTATATATAGGTAATCGGGTGTGCGGGTTGTGATAAGGTGGACTTGAATAACTTAGTTCTTGCACTTCACTTCGTGGAATTAATATTAGGATGTTAGGGTTTGTAATCCAAGTGAGAATATATACATTTTAAGACCTAACCAGGAACGACTGCGAAAAATGCAGCACAAGGTCCTCTGGTAGGAATCGAACCTACGGGCCTGCGATTCTGGAGCCCACCTCAAGTCCACCTTATCACAACCCGCACACCCGATTACCTATATATACATGAACTTACGGTTACAGCTCAACAGCTGGCCTCTGTAGCTCAGTTGGTTTGAGTGCTGCTCCGGAATCGCAGGGCCGTAGGTTCAATTCCTACCAGAGGACCTTGTGCTGCATTTTTCGCAGTCGTTCCTGGTTAGGTCTTAAAATGTATATATTTTCACTTGGATTACAAACCCTAACATCCTAATATCATATCTTTAGGCCTTAATTATATGGGTTTCAGTTTGTAAACAAAAGAGAGAACAGTTCGTATGTAACGATAGTGTATAATTTAAAGTTAGAATAGTAAATAAAGAAAATTTTATAGTCATTAAAAGAGCTATGTTGGCTGAAATGTCCAATCCTTCTTGGATTCTTTTCTTCAAAACTTTAGTAGAAGATTGAGGATGTAGGTATATCATGGAGAAACGAAGACAGTAATGGCACGCTCTCCATCAAGGAAAACAATAAAATAGATACACTTTGGTGCACTTTGGAAGCATCCCTGCTAGCGTGGTATTCTTTTCTACTCGTCATGTTGCCTCAAAAGCTCGTTATTTGAAGGATTGTCCCTCAAAAAAGCTCAATATATTTTGGAAACTTTTAGCTTCACTCCTTCGCTTGCGAAAAAAAACAACGCGCGTGTTATTGCCAGAAAGGAGACTGGACCGAGTATAAACCGAGATGCCCAACTTCCGGTGGAGTCCCCAGGCAAAAACAATCACAGACATGCGCGGGACTGTAACATACCTTTAAAAGTCTTATATGCGTTTTTTTGTACGTTTTCCGATGATGGAAGTCATTTCTATTCTAATTGAATTATAAAATTTCCCAATTTTTGCTGTAATACAATTTAATAGAGGTTATAATCATTGATCACCCATTTTCTCGGTATTGGGCAACTTTTTGCTTGGGAACTCTTTTTTGGTAGTGATGTACCTATATGCTTTTCAAATAAACCCCAAACCAAGTATTTCCCACATGGGTGCCACGAAGCGAAATAATTTTGGCCAACAGCCCACGGCCTACGAATACAAATATTTATTTTGAATTTTTCAAGATAACGGGTTTTACTCGCACGCGCGTGTATTCCGTAATTCTTGGCCAATGAGGAGCTACCTTAGCCCGCGGATGACGTGAAATTCACGCGTATTTTGACATGTAGAACCATTTCTGGCATTTGCAGAGTCCTACGATACAAACGTGGCATTGCTTTGACGTTTTTAAGTCGTGTTTCCGGTTGGGATTATATTAAACTCGAACCAGAAATGTAAATTATCCGGCAATAAAGGGTTAAAATTTAAAGATAGAAGGTTGAAAAAAACACTTTATACAGTGTTTTATTCAGTGTTTTGCATACTTAATGGCAAGACTATCACAATGAGCAGACGTCTCAAGGGGCCGAAGTTATTTTCGGCGAAATGTTTGTTTATGTTTATAATTTATTAGTAATATTGCGTAATTTGATCATTACGAACTCGCTTGACTTTCAAGGCACATAAATCTCAAATATTGCCATTGACTAAAACTATCGCTAGAAATAAGGAGATATTATTACAATGAATCGAATGGTGGTATTTTTGTCCACATAGCATTCAATGAACCGAAGATATGAAATGTCAAAGTGGTATTGCATTGCTACAATGCGATAATAGGGTAGTGTCGGGAAAGTTAAACTATCTCAAGAACATGATTTACATTTTGGAAATTTGTTAAAGGAATATGTTTATCATAAATACCATTATTATTCTGGCCTAGTTCATCATAGATTCTTGGTATTTCAAAAATCTGTACCAAGAAACGCATTCACGAATCCCTAAACTTTCTGAGAATTCATTTTCGGGTAAATCCCTGCTCATGTTGTATTCGGGAAAATCCCCAGCAATACAATTATAATAGTTGGTGTAATCTCAATTTCATAGTAACGTTTCTTGATATAGCTACCAAAATTGTGTCTATTATTTTTTTCAAGAAGGCGTGAAATTATACTATTGTGAATTTTCTATACTTGGAAAGTACCTATCGGCTGTGATCTTATAATATATATCGGCTGTGACCTTATAATTGACATTTCCGCCGATATTGAGTTACGAGAGTCTGATGGGAATCTCCCAGACAGTAAAACAGTACAAGTAGAAGCGAAAAAATCTCAGATGGAAAGATTGGCAAAAGCTTTCCGCACAAGCAGAAGGTCCAAGAAACTGAACTATGTCGAATGACAAACTAAACGAGGCAGTTCTCAACGATCGAACGGACAAAGATTTAAGAAGTCCGATATCAGTTAACGAGACAGACAAAACAAAGCAAGCAAAGGTGACCAGCGATATTATCAAAGCATCCAACGAAACACAAGATGCCTCATTACGAAAGGTGACAATGCTAGACATTATAGACTATTACAATTAAACGACGATCCTTTGTACACAATTCGAATGCCAAACAACAACAATCACACATCAAATTGTTCCACTCTTTTGTAGGAAATCTCGGATAGATGTTCAACTCTCGTGACGAGCCATGACCAAGGGCAGCAAGTTAACGACGTAGCGAAATTGCCAGCCATTGCAGTTCTTTATGAAATCCTAAAACAACTTTCAAGTAAGTGGGAAAAGAGTACATATTGTAGTGAAATATAATTGATGTTTGTATGCATGGCAATGATATATAATACTGTATTTGTGATATATAATAAACTATTTGCCATTCACTAGTATATGCACGTTTACAGCTGTGTACACTGGGGCACTCTGATTTTCATCAAGGTATAGAGACAAGTCCGCGATGTACTCACTAACTCACTGCTAGTACTATCTAAATGGTATTTGCTGTCCTTACGGCGATTGATTGCGAACGATAAATACAGATGTTCTACACGACTAAAGTCTAGGCAGAAATATTTTGCTATCTGTATGTTTCCTACAGTGCAGTCCAAAAGCACACTTGTGAAGATCATTTTTCCTTGTTTTAAGAAATGTTATCTCGTTTAATTTTAAGAAACACTTTCTTGGTTTAAGATTTTTTGATAGAATACGAGGTAATTTATCTGCATGGAAGAAAAATTATCTTGGTTTCAAAAGTGAAAATCTTGTTCCAGGATTTTATTTCTTAAACATAAGATAATTAATATTAGGAAGAAAAATAATCTTGCCTGTAAAACAGAAAAATCTTGTTTCAAGATTTTATTTCTTAAACTTTATGTCAGTTAATCTTAGGAAGGAAAATAATATTGTCTTAAAATTGAATACCTTGTTCCAAAATTGTATTTCTTAACATAATGTAATTAATCTTACGAAGGAAAATTATCTTACCTTCAGAGCGTAAATATATCTTGTTGTTTCAATATTTTATTTCTTAAACAAGAGCTTTTACTCATCTTAGGAAGAAAACGAAGTGAGCAATTTGTGCGTTGGATACAGTACTTGGTAAAAATACAAAATATATACAATAGATATACAGTGCACATGAATCTAGAAGTGCAAGGGGTTATCCCCAACAGTGTGCTCTTCGATAATCTCTTTTAGGTCATATTTAAGACTGATGTAAAGTCCACTATTTACCTTCCCCGCAGAGTAAATATTAAAACTCGGTGGTTGAATCACACGATCTTTCTCTACTTTATAAGCCTGAGTACACTCCACTGGAAACATTAGAGTGTTCTTCCATATTAATGGTAATATGGAAGAAAATTATAATGTTTCCAGTGAAGTGTACTAAAAAATAATCTCTTCATTGGCCAACAAAACGTTTTCCAACTGGCCAAATAAAGGCAGCCCTTTGGGAAAATTTGCATCTTCAGCAATAATACAACCTCTATTAGATATGTAAGTGGACAACTTAATCCACCTACTGCTGAAAATTTTATATGGAGGCTCTGGATATAAAAGTAATCAAGGATCATTTATCCTTTCAAGGCAAGAATGAGTGCGTCTTTTTCTAACTTCATGGTCGGCTCGTGTTCCTTTTCCGTTTGAAATAACGGATGGTCCAAATTTCGGGATGTGAACTGAATGTCCCGGAACTTTTCCTTCATGTCTTTGAATGGATCGACAAAGGCGGTTCAGGTATTTTTATGTGCCCATCCAACACTTCCCTTGAACCCACCCTACTGATGCTGTGCATTTGTGTCGCCAAGGCAACCGATGACAGCACCGTGCAATTCCAATTTTTGTCTTCAAATATTAAGTTCGTGACCCGCAGCCAGTTCTTCAAGGTCATTGATAATTGGTGTCAGGATTTTTCCTTGACCATACTTGCCAACATCATGTGTCTTAACAATGCGAACTAATTGGGTGGTACACAGCTTTGATCGAAACTTGGGATCAATATATTAGCCAAGGTATAATAATATAAATCAACCTTGTGCTTTCCTATATTACTTCCTAGTGGATTGTATACCTCTATCTCGTCGTGGTAGCTAGAAAAGGAGTTGATGGGAATTAGTATTAAGTTAATAAATAGGATTGCTCTTGAAGCATGCACCGTCTCTTATATCATAGAGCACCCCTTCTTTGCGCTGCTTTGACAAATTGATAACCGAAGCAAATATTCTGGGATTCGAAGGAAGCTCATCAAAACTTTGAAAGTTCGCAATATATACCACGATATCGCTTTTTTCACACATCTGCCGTTTTGCTCCCTGGTTCTTAAACCCAATATGTGTACCAAGAATGTATTCGAATGGCTGAACATAATTCATGTTCTTTTGAATAAATGATGATTGCAAATTAGTAGTTTGAAGATTTGAGAATGAATCTTTGAGAATGGATTATTTTACATGTAAATATACCTTTTGCTTGTTTCTCGGATAATAATATTTAGTGCAACCTAGAAATTAAGCAAAATAATAATAAGGCAACCTGCAAGTGTATATAGTGGATCGTAGGTTGCTGTCCCAAAAATATTTCAAGTAATCTTTGATCACAATAAGGTAATAATTGCATCTAATCTACACCCCAAATCCATTGCACTACACCTCCTATATATACCATCCGCTAACTTACTTCACAAGCACGGTCAACCCAAGACTCTGTGAGGTTTGCTATAGCCCCAATACACGTGCAGTCACGTCATTATTCAATGATTCATTAAAAATCACAAAATCTCTCCAATACCATCCATCTATCTCCCTGATGTTATTTTTTTTTTGTTGAACCAATGGGATGGTTTGTCTAAAGTCATTTTACATGCCGTTCGAAACATGTATATATGTTCGCCTTTCTTTACAGTCATTTCTAATGATATTGACCCAATATCATACCACGTTGAAACGCGAAACTATAGCTCGAACTGCTTCGAACTGCATTGGACAATCAATCCTTATTATATATATTATTTAAAAGTATTAATCATATAGTATATACTACGTAATGACTGTCCTGGGCACCACGTTTTTTGTGTTTTGTAAAACATATATATGGGATTATTAGTCTAGGCATCTAATTAGTTTTACCCTTTTGATATAACTAAATGTTCTGCCCGATTTTATAAGCCGCAATTTTGGTAGATTGTACAACATCTACCTATTCTACCTATCAATAGTTAGATACTTGACACAAACCATAGGCTTCATTACATATTTTACGGCATGCAGGTTTGCTTTCAATACCCAGTGAGTATGTACATAATCTAACTGCATGTATATACTTAAATACTAAGGAATAAACCTACAATCCTCACACAGACTTAACTACATGTGATGGACAGGTTACGGAAACAGCACACAGTATAAAACAAGGATTAAGTTTACAATTTCTCAATGCATGGTCTACTTTCCAGACCCTGATAAGATAAATTTAAGAAAACCATGAATATAAAAGAAATCCATTAGATAAATAATGATTACAAGCAAACGGGTCCAAGACGCATGTAGTGGTCCAAGACGCATGTAGAGGTCCTATTAGCTATTCCAAAATTAAAACATTGCAATTAGCCTTGTTAATTGCTGTTTGCAGAGCAAAGTCTAGTGAACAGTTCTGCCTTACTTTGTCTGGCCGCCCATGTCGCTCCTCTGTCTCGTAAAATGTAAGCCTGTGTGCTTCATGCATGGAAGGTTTTCAGCTGAAACCATTCTTTATTTGCTACGGCTCTATATTAAATTGTAATTAACATGCAAACGCCCGTCGAAATGTAGAAAATAATAATGGACGTTTGAATTTTCGATTGTTTGTATTTAATAGCTGAATATTAGAAGACGCATTTCCGTCTATAAGACGCGAACCTTGCATTCTAACGGATTTTCGTGATATGATATGAATGTGGAACGAAAGCCATCGGATGAATAAACCTGAACAACTCGGAAACCCCCAACTCAGACCTTTTTCGACGTTACGAGCCAAAATCCGTCTTGATTTATCCGTCTGATATAAAGCTAACGCTAGTTTTCCGTCTTAGAAGAGAAACTCGTCTAACGAGTCAACACACAATATCGAATAAAAAAGCGTTTGAGATGAGAATATAATTAAGTTAGTCAAAATTACATACGTTTGTCACGTAACGATAATCATAGATGAAAGAACACATGTTTAAAATTTTATTAACCCTTCAGTGCTTAGTGGCCACTCCATTGGTGAGTAAAATCGTCTGGCCCACAATAAAATACCAAAGACCCCGCTGAGAATGAAAGGGTTAAGACAATTCGCAATTGAATATGTCAAGATTTGTCAACGTAATAAATTTTGATTCGTTGAGAGGAGTACGAATTCTTTTATCAATTGCTCTCCATTTTAGGTACAAATTCAAATTCAAACTCAAAATTTTATTGACACTGTTTCATAACATTACATTTTTGTTAAATACAGGAAGAAAATAAACCATATATTATAGGAGTTACAAATAATTTGTAGTAGTGAGCGACAGCCAGAGGAGCAATGAAATCTTTCGAGCTGGTTGCCGTACAATTAATAAAATAATTGTACTCCTCTCAACAAATAAGAAGGCAGTAATATTCACATCCATATAATAAGAACTAGTATACTTATCAGTAATATAAATGCTGACTTCCTCCTTAATTTGACGATATATAAAAAACGGCTCATCTTTCCAAATTAACAACGCACCCCAGTTTAATTTAAGGGACCGGTCATAAAGTAACTGCTAGGGTGGGCCGGAATGATTTGGGATGGGCCATGGAAAATCATTGGGATGTTTCGATGGGCCACCAAATATTTTGTATGTCTACGGATGGACCACCAAACAAAAACCCATGTCTACTTTCATCCAGGGGCGTAGGAAGCCAGGGGGGCCTTAGCGCCAACCATGGTGGCACCTTGTGGGAGTCGCCCCCCTAACTTTTACAAGCTTCCCTGCTTTCATCACTTATTATGATAAATATAATAGCAAATAAGATTTTAAAATCAAACATATAATACAAATCTAACAGGCTGTACACTGCACATAGGGTAGCAGGGGCAATTACCCCCCCCCCCCACACCCTAAAATTTAACTAATTTTATAATGTGATTATATGCTTGTAGCGGATAATTATGCAGTCAGGAAATAAAAATTTCATGCAAACAATATTCAAAGTGTCTATACAGCCGGCCATTTAATAAACTGTCACTTGTCAATCCATACTCATCAAATTTTCAAAACTTTATTGTGATCATATGAAGCAAAAATTCTGTCACTTGTTGTTTACA